ATTGTAATTATAAATGTGAACTTCTGAGCAGATAAATATGTATTTTGCTGTATAAAGTTTATCATGATGTGTTTAACAAAAGAAAGAACATCGAAAACAACGTAAAATACATATATATTTTCCTGATCAGTTCCACGAAGCAAATTGACCTATATTTAAATAGAAAAGTTTGAAGTTAAAAACTAATTATTGACCGATCTTAATTTGTTATTATCTCAAATAGCTAAAACTTGGTTAAGTATTTACTTCCTTAGCGCTATAAACTATTGTATAAGACTCTGTTGTGGAATGGATTAGAACGTCCGCATCATTGTTATATAAGGATTTCCAATAGCAAAGTAGACTTCTGTAGTACAACAGGTGAGCGTTATAAAACGTTTAATTTTAATTGAACGTGAGATATAATAGGGACCCCAGGAATCAACTAGGATCGTTATACTATAAATATTTAATTTAACTTTAATTGAACGTGAGATATAATAAGAAGCTCAGGGATCAACTAGGATCGTTAATAATAATCTATTTTTATTATAACTTTTAATGCCGATATAGTGATTATTGTTAAATCCCTAAAACTTTTTAGAGATAGTATTAAAAAATATTTAATTCTATTAATGGTGTTTCACTCTGCAAGTATAAGTGTACTACCTATTGTATTATCTATACAACAGGCGACTTATCTTTATCGATATATTAATTGTACGCACATATTTTTGATTACTAAATTTGATTTATATTAAATATTACACCATAAGATACTATTTAGATATTTATACATTTATATATACAACACTAGATAAAAATATATCAATAATAATTATATAATAAGAAAATTATAGCACATATATGTATATGGATTATATACTATTCTTATATGGACACAACTTTTAATATAAAAGGCCTACGTCATTGCTTCACTTTATGTTCGAATATGATAACAATAATCTCCGGTGTTAAATATAAAAATTATTCGATTTTGTTTATCTTTTATATAATATAAACAATTTAATACAATGAAGCTAAGTGCAATTGTGTAAGAGTTAAAATTATAAAATTTTTGTTTTATTACCTTGTGTTTTTCGCAGTACATATTCACTTCGGATTTGCGTATCAAACTTATGAAATTCCTTTAGTAATTTTATTTATTATGCACACCGGGCAGCTTTGATCGTGCTACTTTTAATGATATTTTGTAGTCCTGACTTTATTCATATTTTTTTATTTGAGTTGCTTTTAAAATTTAATAATACAACGCACACATGCATATAGACACATTAAAAAGTTAATATTAAGTCCAAAAAAGATGCAGAATTAAATTGTTTTTTATTTTTATCTTAGATTCTGTTTCACTTATATTCGTTTTCTTAAATAATTTTTTCTTGTTTTTTATTCATCTTCGCCGTCGCTTTGCAATTTTTATGAATTTTTGCATAATTCTTCTAATAAGTTTGTTAAATTAATTTTTTTTTCGTTGATACTATTGTTCGAATTATATTTATTTATAATATTTTTTACTTATAATAATGAAATAATATTAAAAACGCAAAACCAAAGAAATTAAAGCACATCATCGACACGACAAAAATTCCACCGACCAAAAAAGAAGTAAACGAACAACAATTAGCATGATGTTAGCACAGTGTTGCCTTTACTCTACACGAAAAAAGTAGTAGATTTTTAAAATTTATTAGAATTTGGGCATACTTACGGATCAACAGTATTTAGCATAAATAAGCATTAAACTGTAATAAACTAATTTTATAGTATAGAAATAAAATAAAATTTTTTAATTTAATTTAGTTTTATTGGTGAAGCTTTTAAAATAATTTTCAAATAACATACACTTTCTTTATTATATTACGTTAAAAATATTATGCACCACGATTTAGGTTATCTACTGTGGTAACCACAGTTGTCTTAATTTATATTCTAATAAACGTAAGCATATTACAGAGTTTTATTTATTTTATTTAAAATATACTAAATCCTGATGTATAACTGTACAAATCCCATTCATCTTAACCGACCTCTCTAAGAGCGTAAGTTTCTTTCACTTGTTTTTTCTTAACATCATGCGAGAAAACGAATCCATACACTTTATTTAAATTATATAGTATCCGAGTGACTAGTGCAAACACGTCTTATGGTTTCGTTTCTTTCTAATGTTAAGTGAGAAAACAAATCTTATTCGAACTTCATAATCTTTTAGATTTTTTGGCAGAAAACAACAGCTAAATTTCAGCTAACGTAACAACAAAATACATTGTTAACCTACATAATTACATACATAATTATCTAGTAAATAAATTGTTGTTCAGTGACTTTTCATAATAAAATTATAAAACAATTAGTTATCATTTTTATTTATTAATTCTACATTTTTCATTAATTACAAATTACACGCATTTGATTATGTTACAACAAAATAATAATTTGCTAGAATACAAATATTAAATAATATTAAACGTTACAGACAATTTTTTTCTTAATCATATCAACTCAAAATCAAAATTTCTTAAATAACATATTTCATCAAAACATTATTCAAACATACGTATATTGTGAAAAATAAAAAATTATTATATATAAATTCATTTTCTTTAAAATAATTAAGCGGCTGGCTTCTTAGGTAATGACCCAAATGCTGATATCACTGTTCCTTTAGTACCAGTAACAGTCGTAGTTAGTGCTATTGCGGGCTTAACAGCTGCCGGTTGATCCCATTTTGATTTTCTAAAAAATATACAACAAATCAAAAATTAATAATTTAATTATTTATACATATAGTTTAATACAAAAATTTTTATGACAATTACCGTTTTTTCGCTTCCTCTTCAACTTTGCGTGCTAAAACAGTTGCTTGCTCAATTTTATCTGTTTCTTTGCGTTCCTTCTGGCGTTTTAGCATCTCATTTTTCTGAACTCGCGCTAATTCTTCATAGAAACTTTCTGGTCCCCATTGATGAGGATTATAGATTTCTGGCGGATAATTTGTCCCAAACTCATTTATATCGCAAAACTGTATTAATTTTTCATAAATACTTGGATTACGAAATTCTTTTCGCCCTTGAATAAGACGATTCATATCCATATTATTTGAGTCCATTTTTTCGTACAATTGCCGTACTTTTTCAACCAATTCAGCAGATGGTTTACCCTTTGGTTCTGGTGGCAATGTAAAATTGTAATGTGCATATTTACTATGTTTATCAATTTTACTTAAATTTGATACGTCCTTTATTGACTCCGAAGCTAAATCATTATCAACTTCCATTGGTGTTTCGGATTCTTCGGCATTCGTGCTACTTGACTCAGTTGAAACACCCTTCTCTTTTTCTTCTTCAGATTCGGAACTTTGAGATGTTTCTGTTTCTAAGTCATCGTCTTCATCAGATATTATTGTATCATCTTGATAACTAACAAGGCGACGTACTTTTTTGTTGCGCTTCTTTTTTTTTATTTCAACTGGAGATATTGGTTTAGGTTGTAATAACTGTGCTGAAATGTTTTGCTGTGGTATAATAACCTTTAAAGAAATTAAAGGGTTGTGGTTAGAGACAAATAAACATAAATATTTTTAAAATCTTACCTGGGATGATTGTGAATTTTGCGAATCACCACTATCGTCAGCTTGGTCATCTTCATTTTCAGAGTCTGTATATTGCGCAGTTAGACTTGCTAAAGCTGATTTACTCATTTTGATAAATACTTTCTATTATTTTTTTATATTTATAATTGACTAACAACAGCTTGTCAACATTGCATACACAAAATGCAATGAGGTGACAATTGAGACAGGGCTGTTATAATAAAATAAATAAGTTGCTTGCAAAATCTAAATTAATAGGTGACCTCACAAAAACTGTTAAGTACTGTTCACACAGAAACTTTTCATTCGTTCTTCTTTTGTTTTTCAGCAAAGAAATTCATTCAAGAAGTGCACTAAAAATGTTTATTGAAAATGTTTCCTTTACAAAATAAGCAACAGCTTGTTTATTTAAAAATAATGCGAGTTTTAACAATTTGATAGCAACTAATAATCATTGAACATACAATGCTTTATTTTTGTTTTATTAATTTATTTTTTCAGTATGTTAATATGAAAGAAGTAAACATTTTTTTTTAAATTTTCTAATTTATTTAATTATTTAAACTACGAGATTTGATTTTTGGAAATATATAGTAATTAATTGTAGTGAAAATCAAATTCCAAGAAATTAAATTTCGCTAACTCGGCATCTAACCTGACCTAACAGTTTAGCACCATATTTATGTTCAAAATACATTTAACGAAAAAATTTGCATGTGAAGAAGTGAGAGAGTGAGCAAAATTCTTATGTGAAAATAATGCAAATTGACATAAGCTCTTGACAATTAATAGGTCTGTTCTACGAGCTACTCATAGTAAAACTCAAGTAAAGGTTCAATTAGAAATTAATTCAAAGCGAAATGCACAACCAAAAAAAACTGCGTATTTGATAGGAATGAAATAAACAAAGTTGACCGTTTTTGTTTATTTCGTTCCTAATAAATACGCAGGTTTGGTTGGTTGTGCATTTCGCTTTGAATTAATTTTTTACGTTACCTACCATCTAACTGATCCTTAAAATATAAACTGAAAGCGTAACACAAATAAAGTGCTAAATGGAGAGAACACTACTGTTGCGCAATAGATAATACCAAAATTTAAATTCAAACCAAAACAGCTGATTCTCACATCATACAAAAATTTTTTAAATAAAATGTAAGAGTAAAGTCTGTGTAGCATTTTCAAATTTCGAAAGGGATGTTATGATCTTTCGGAGGCACTTATTTACTCGAAAATTTGCTGTTGGAATCCATTTGTGTATACACAATGTTACTCGAAGTTACTGCAAGTAGCTCGTAGAAAGACCTAATATTCTCTGTTATCTATTGTTTTTTAGACAGTTAGGAAGCTTGGCAGCACTTACAGGTACGAATAGAAACGTCATATCTTTTGTTGTTTATTTACTTTAATCAGTTGACGTTGTAATATTTTTATTTCATTCAATTTTATCCAATTTGGTACTATAATAAAAGCGAATTACTATAAATAAATCATGATTTCTAACAGTACAGTTTCACAAGATGAGGACAGAATACAGAAACGTGTTAATAAAATACTTGAAACGCGTTTGGAAACAGATAAAGTAAAGTCACTGTGATATATCAATTAATTATAAAAGTTAAAATAATAATCAATTTCTAAATTAGGATACATTAGATGCGTTAGGAGAGCTTTCTACTTTCTTTACAGAAAATACTTTGCAAAACCGTCGCAATTTGCGTAGTCAAATTGAACGTCGTTCAGTTGGTATAAATGAAAATTTTTTAAAAGCGTTCCGTGAAGTTAAAGTATCTCTGGACGCAGTTTGTGATGAATTAGATGAAATGAGTAAATCAGTGCAAACGATGAAAACTAAATTGGAATCTTCCAAAGCACTAACACATGACCTTATTACTCAAACAAACACATTACAAGAAAGTCAACAGCGATTAGAAGTGCAACAGCAAATTGCTGAAGCATTTTTAGGGCGATTTCAATTAAGTGTTCCAGAACATCAGTTACTTTATGGTACAACTAAAGATGCACCAATAGTTGCTGAATTTTTTGATATATTGGATCGTGTACAAGCTATACATGCAGATTGTCGTGTATTAATGCAATGTGGTTATCAAACTGCTGCTTTGGATATAATGGAAGAAATGACACTTCATCAGGAAGGAGCGTTAGAACGGCTTTATAGGTGGACACAAAATCATTGTCGTAGCTTGGAAAATAATGAGGTTGGTCCATTGGTAGTACAAGCAATGGTCCGTTTACAAGATAGGCCTGTCCTTTTTAAGTAAGTACTGATTCTTTTTGGTTTAAAATTAAATTAAATATTTTTGCTGCAGATACGTGATCGATGAGTATGCAATAGCACGACGTGCTGTTTTAGTTAGGCAGTTTATAGAGGCTCTTACAGAAGGTTCCAAACCTATTGAAATGCATGCACACGATTCAAAACGATATATTGGTGATATGTTTGCATGGCTTCATCAAGCTATTCCAACCGAAAAAGAAAATCTTACGATGCTGCTAAAGAAATGCGACAAAAATGGTATTCTGTTATGACCAGTTCATGTCTTATATATTCTGTTTTATTGTGTTTGTATTGTAGACATAACCGATCAAATGCAAACTGCTTTAGCGTATATTGCAGACGGAGTTTGTCATCCATTAAAAGTAAGAGTAGATACCATATTAAATTCAGAAAAGGATACAATAGTATTATTTGCACTTTCGAATTTGTTGCGGTTTTATCAACAAATAATTAAGCAGGTATTAAGTACTTGCAATTAAATAATAAATATTTTTTATAATTTTTAAACGATTTATAGGTAGTCAAAGGTGGTTCTTTAGAACAGTGTTTAGTGGATCTACAGAAATCCAGTGAAGAGATATATTTAAATTCTCTATCGTCACAAGTGCGCTCAGTATTACAACGTCCTGCCAGCGTTGCAATCGGTTTAGAACCACCTCAGCGTGATCTTGTTCCACCAGCTAGTGTGGGCCGTTTGCTTAACATGTTGAAAGAAATTTTATCTGTAGCTACAATGGTTGATGAGCGTCAAACTGATATAACAAAAATAGTTTCGTGTGTTATTGATCCTTTATTGCAATCTGTACAAGAATCTGCCTCACATTTACCAACTATAGATATGGCTGTTTATTTACTTAATTGTTTGTATCATATGCAAACTACCTTAACAGTTTACGAGTATATGGATGAACGTGTTGAACGATTACAGGCACAATCTGAGGCACAAATTGATACATTAACTTCTGAGCAGGCATCGTCGTTGGTAGCAAATTTGAATTTAGGCCCCATATACACAATTTTGCAAAATAATCAAACTAAAATTGAAACGAATCTATTAAAGATTTTTATGAATAAAATGAATGGATTCCTAGAGATGCCTGATATTTTGCTTCTACCACAAATTCAATTATTAATGTCAAGTGCACATCGCAATGCGGTGCAAAAACGTTCATTCAGTGTTATTGTTGCAATTTATAAACAAATTTATGAAAGAGTATTTGATCCTGAGAATGGATTCGAACATCCTGAAGCTATATTACCAAGAAGTCCAGAACAAGTTGCGCAAATTTTAACTGTTTAAATTAGAAAAGATATTGCTTTTGTATATAGTTTAATTAAAGTATAGCTTTACATAATAAATATTTCATAATTAATAACTAAAACAGTTTTGAATTATAGTAAGAAATAAGATATTCTTTGCAGACAAAAGTTTTACTCGACAGTTACTTTTTTTGGTACTTCGATTTGATTATTTAAGTATGTGAATTATCTATCAAAATTGAAATCAAATTTTTGGTTCCTATTTTCTTGCTTCTATGCGGCCCTATGCTCCTCCTAGGTGTTAAAGGATTTGATATATATATTTCTTTACTTCTGCACATCAATTCGTGAGCGATACAACGATTTTTCTTCCCACATGGAGTTGAAAGTAGTACATCAGGTATTTTAAGAAGTTTGCAAAAGACACTTCTTTTAAACAGATCAAAGTGATAAATTCATCTATAATTAATCTGTTAAGTATCAGTTTTTATGGTTAAAAATGCTTTCAATAAAGAAAACACGGAATTCTAAGTCCGTATCACCAAGACCTGAGCTAGTTTTAACATCTGTTACTTTTAATAGAAGTATAACGTTCTTGTCGACGATCCGCAGGCTCTATCAACTCGCTCAGACAGTAGTCTGTATAACATCGAGTGCTCGAAGATCATTCATTACGTTATTATTTCAACAACAATGCGGTTATCTTCTAACACACTTTCTATCTCGGAGTGTTCAATCAAACACCTACTTATTACCGGAGCAGTGAATAACAATGAGGCGTTGAGTTTTTACCGTCTTTATCCTGATAATGACATCATTATTCCGCTTATTTCGCTTTCGTGGGTATCGTACTTTAATGAAAAATTTTCATAAAATTCGATATTAAACGATATTAAACTTTTCCGCTTGTAGTATATGTGGATGTTGCTTACTTTTTAGATAACCAGGTAAAATATTGGATTTTACACGCCTCACTTAACGACAACTAGTATTTCGGACTTTTACATTATTTATGAAAACTACAATTAATATTAATACTACATAAAGTCATTAAAGGTTTTCGTATGGATATGTGCAACTTTAAAGCACAATATCTGGAGATCCAAAAAGTTGAATAAGAAAAAACTGCGCATTATATCAAATATTATAGAATTCGTTATTAAAATGTGGCTCCCAAACGAGTCGTTCATTCCATTTATATTGATATTTGTTACCAATGCATACAGGACCAAAGATCTTTAAAGATATTTTGCTCTTAAATATTAAACTCGTACTGTCTTGTCATTATACAAGTTTCTACACCAGCAGGACAGGAGGACAACAGCAGGACATATAGAAACCTGTGCAGCGTAGTGTGGTTTTTATAGAGTTTTTTTTTTGTCTACTTCTTAATTGCTTACTTGATCCCAAGGTAATATCTTTTGCCTTGAGAGTTATGATCTCCTACAGTTACTTCCAACTCGGAATAAGCCTTTACTGGGTTCCGGGTCACAGGGGAGTTTTGGGAAATGAACAAGCTGATGAGCTAGCTAGAACTGCATCAAAAACTGAATTACAGGCCCTCAACACTTTTATGGGATAAACTGGGCCAATAACAAACAAATTATCAATGAAAGGGAAAATCACATGCGGCTGGAGTACTGGAAAGACTTCCCAGGACTTAGAAAAAGTAAACCACTGATAACACCGTACTCCTA